CATTTACAAACCAAAATGTGCACAAAACGTCTTTCTTATTTCATATTTTACGTTCTTTTGTAAAGTACTTTGTACCTTATTTTTGGTGAATTAAATGATTAAAACCACTACTGCAGTGTAATTCAATCACACTCAGAATCATGAGCTTCTTCTTCATTATTCTTTACATTTATTCAATTTATTAGAGCTGTTTATGTATCAGAAACCAGCAGTCCATCTATCTATTGTTATCTCATCTTCATGCTCAGTAGCTGTTTTTTTAAGCTCATCATGCTGCCTGCGCCCTGTCCAGCCCCGCTCTATCTACCCGTCATGTTCCCATAATGCTTTGTGGCAGCTGCAGCTAGATTCATGCACACAGGTATTGATTTTCTTCCCATTTTTTTCCTTCAGTGCAACCCTTTATTTATCTCACTAAGCCGCTGCCACTGGGTGTGAGGAGAGAAGCAGCTCGCAGCTTGTGAGAGGACACAGTGAATTCAGCATGAGAGACGCTTTCCACATAACCTGGATTTATTTTCATTTATCTGTTATTTATCTGCCAGCGCTGCTCTGCTGCAGAGTCTAATCCTGCTCTGTGTGGGATGCATGTGTAGGTATGCATGTAGTGTTTGCACACGTGTGTGTTTGTGCTGCTGTCCGACCATCCGTCCATACAAACACTCCATTCTCCACAGGCCACCTGACCCATTTTTCTGTGTGAATAACAATACTCCAGCCAATCATGGGCAGACAGAATGACGAACGCTGGAAAAAGACTCTGCATCCAGCCTGTCACACGTCAGAGTCCCAACCCTGCCTGTCGACAGAGCGAGGCAGGGATGGAGAGGGGAGAAGGGAGCAAGAGAGGGAGACTTACTTATCCTCTCTCTTTCTCCCTCCTCCTCCTCCTCACCTCCCCTCTCTCCCCCTCCACATCTTAACCACACAGGGACCAGTAAAACCATTACCCACCCTCCCCAGCCCCCAGCTCAAGGTTGTGCTGCACCAATGGTTGCGCTTCCTACATGCATTCTAAGAAAAGGGCAAAAGCGACAGCAAGCGAGCTGCAGGGCTGCTTCTAACAAAAGCCATTCATTATAGCAGGCGACCTGTAGGCATCGGGCCCATCCCACCTTCTGCACAGCGCTCACTGCTGTGAAGTGGGAACGCAAATCAGTTCAGTGTTTATGCAGAAGCTCCCTTTCAGTTGCATTTTCATTGCAGTTGCATGTTCATGAAACATTGTTTTAAGTGTGGACGTCGTGGCCAAACACAGCCGCCTCCAAGGACGTCTCAGGGTTGCCTGAGTGTAACCATAGTGACAAGGAGGAAGTGAAGCACACAGGTCAGCCGAGTTTTGCTTCAATCAACTGCGCAGCCCTAAACTCAAACCTCTGTGTGACTCCGAATCAGCCTGACTTTGAAATGGAGGAGGAGTGGAGGAGAAACAGTAGGCGCCGTGGAAACGCACGATAACGTCCAGCAGCCTTCTGATAGTAACTCTTGATATTTACTTCAAAGGCCCATTATACACAGCCAATTAAGCCGACATAGTGCGGCTGGCTCCTCTCCCTCCCGGCAGTGGCTGCGGGGATCGAGGCTGGCTGCAGAAATAACTCCAACACATCCCAAATGTCAACAAACATGAAAGAAACTGTGAAATGCACAAGATGGCTCAGCAAATAGCCAGACTGAACATGTCGGAGCCATCTGCAATCTCCTTAAACGACTGTCTCTACATGCTAGCAAACCCACCGAGGCCGCCACAGTTCATATAAGATGTAAACTATGATTGTTCGTGTTGCTGTAAAATAAATATGGACAGTAGATGTTAGACGCATGTGTAGAAATTCTTCTGTGTGTATGAGACAGTAATAAAAACACCGAGCAGCGGGAGCATGAACAAAAAACAGAAACGGAGCAGAGACGAGGGAGGGCTGAGCAGAGCAAAGAGAATCCGTGTGATGGCTGACGGCCCTTGTGCTCAGCTCGTGTACTGAATGAAAAGAAGCCCCGTGTGTGTGTGTGTGTGTGAGTGTGTGTGTGTGTGTGTGTGTGTGTGTGTGTGT